AATGTTTTAGTTTTGCTTAATCCACAGCGCAGCAAAAAGCTAATCTGGCTTTCGTATTATGCTGACAGCATAATTTGTTTATGTGCCACATCAAATCACGGCACATCTGACTTAATGAGAATCGCATAGTAGGGTGATGATTAATTTCCAGCAAAAGTGTATGCTATAGAAGAAAATACAGTTGAATATGAATTGATCCCACAATTCACTCAATCAGCTTAGCTCTTTGGGAAAAGTTTTCAGTTGTAGCATGTGAAATTTCTGAAATCGATTGTATTGATCTAGGTCGAATAGACAACAGTTATTAATTAGCAAATAATGCTATCTCATTCGCAGCTGACGAGCATTTGAAACTTGATATGAAATAATTTCGAGCTGACAACAAAACAAAAAAGTCGCCAATCGAGCCCATTCCACCTCGAGAGAGCTGGCGCCTGTTGAAGCCTTTTTGCTTGTCTGCTTTGTTGTCACAAGCACAGCAAATATTTGCATTTGCGCTGCCCAGAATATACATTTATGTAAATACAGTGGAACTACACTTTAATGAACTCACAGCTCGCAGACTGCAAAAAGAATAACAATTGAAATAGATGCACGAGTGCAATACAATAAATAAAATATTTTGTTAAGTAATTGAAACAGTGTTGCGAATGTATTTAAGAGCATATAAAAATATGGATTATTATTTGAGCGAATCAAGTGTATATATTCTTAATGAAAATGTTAACGGTGCTATGTATATATGAAGTGTTACGCGTGCTTGCGCACTCATTAACTCGTCAAGTTATTCGAGGATCTGGATGAACTTTGGCCTTTGCGTGGGCACACACGCACTCACACTCACACTCACACACACAAACATAAACATAATTTGGCTGTCTCATGGGTCCCATGATGTAATTTAAATCTATGGTAATATATGCAACAATTAAAAATACATCAGTTTACTTTTGTGTGCTGTGCAGAGCCGGGGCCTAGCCCATTGTCTACTTCCGGAGGTCTTTTATGCATTTGAGGGGACATCTTTTAACTCATTAAATTTCATTGCGTTCTCTCTAAGTGTGTGCGTGCGTGTGTGGGTGTGAGTGTGCGTGAGTGTTAAATGCTCTGCTGGCTTGTTGTACTCTGCATTTGTAATATTTAAATGCCTTTTGTCGGCCCTTGCTATAATTATTTTGTTGTGCGCGCATAATTTAAAAATAAAAATAAAAGGCGATGACAGAGTGTGACTTGAGCAGGATTTTAGAATTTGATAATAACATCAAACGGATGATGTCACACAGTCAACAGATTCTGGCCTGCTAATAGCCCTGGCTATCTGCTTGCTTCATTTCAAGAGCCTTTGCTTTTTACTTATTTTTTGTGTTTGTCAGTCGGCCTAATTAGCAACTCATTTAGCTTGGTTTGGCGTCTGCTGCTGACTATATTTAGCATGCGATTCATTAAAATGAACATTCGCCAGCACGTCCGCAGGTTGTGCATGTCCAGTCTGCATGTGCCGTGTTTGGTCCCAGGACCTCTTGGCCAAGCGCCACCCACGCAGCAAACAGCTTGTCTAATTGAGGCAACTTAAAGACCACTCCGAGCCGGCGATGCCATAAAGCAAAGTCTAAGACGAGCTGCCTAATAGATAGTCATTTTCGGCTAACTAACTGGGCATCCTGGTTCGGGATCAAAGAAATAAGTTACGAAAGCGAAATATGCTGGCAGATATTATGCAGACAAATACAAAGTATCGAGGGAGCTCCTCTACTAATTATCATATACTTAATTTGTATTTAATTGCCTCTTGCATAATGTATTTATGCATGCCATGGAATGAATGGAGTAGCCTTGTACAGGGTATGTGCCCGTTATGCTATCTATTCTAAGCACAATCGTCGCAAGTGCTCAAACTGCTTATTTAGATTAAGTGCATAAGGAGGGAATATTACAGGATATATGAGAGTCATGCAATTACAATTGTTCTCCGATGTTCCACTATACTTATGAGCTCACACAATGAATGCTTAGCTTCTATTGTATTTGGACGTATGCGCAATAATTTAGTCGTGGCGTATACGCCCGTTGGGCCGGTCTTTGTTAGTTGTTTGGCGCATACAATGGCTGTGGTTACAGTGTTCAAGGTATATGAAAGTCATGCACGATAGTTGTTAAGCGTTTCTTAGCTTCATTTTATTTACCCGTATAGTTAATGATTTATTTATTGCGCATACGCGCTGTGCGCCGTGTAGCTAAATATTTGATTGCTGTTATTATTGATTTTGTTGTGTTGTCGCTGCCAAGCGAGCACTTTGTCATCTTCAAACATGAAAACAAATGTTGCCCATAATAAAACTGTAAAAGAGCAAACAAAATAACAAAGCAATAAACCGAAACTTTTGGCGCCCAAGCGGAGCTGGAGAAAAGTACTGCAATTAAAATTAATTACATAAACATCAATGTGCCGTGGGCAATAAATGTTCCACCTCGCAGATGTAGTTGCTCTCAGCGGACCACAGCAGACCTACCTTAAAGCCTGGTCAACTCTCGCCCACGGCTCGGTTCGGCTGGGTTCGACTTTACCACAGAACCGCATTTCTCGCAGTTCCCTCGATTCCCGCAGTACCCACAAGGCAAGTTGACAATAATGAATACTTAATAAAGTGGCATTAAAGGTAGTTGCCAGGAACTCGTTCCAGCACTCTGCACACTTTGTAAAAGGCAACTAAGAGACCGAATTCCATAGAAGGCTCAAGGCAAGTTTACCTTTGTTTTGCGACTCAGTTCGGCATTTCTTATACGCTAGTTGTGACTGGCGAGGAAATTTCGTTTCAATTATCAACAATGGAGCCTTTGGGTCGCCTTAATGTAGGTTGCGGACTGTCCTTAAAGATTCTACCATGGCGTTTTCTTAATGAATATTTATTTTAATGCTAAACATTTTATTCTTCAGAATTGTGGCGCCCCAACAAATGATAAACAATACTTGAAATTTCATTAAAAGGCTTCAATTATATTTTCCCAAATCAGCGCTTAACATCCGAAGAATCGAATCAGAAAATGTAAACGCCAATGAATTAGTAATTTGATTGAGCATACAGACTTGATTGAGCCTTAGGTTCATTGGCCCAACTAACCAACTATTAACAAATTATGTATAATAATGATAATCAGCCTCTAAACAACTTATTCACTGACAAAGAACTTGAGTTTCTGTAAGGTATTCCACAGCGCCTATCTATTTAAATTGACTTTAACACAAAATGCAAATTAAAACCCTCAACTGAAATCTTCATCTAAAATTATAAAATTATATTTATACCCTGCTACATATATTTTGTTTAACATTGGAATTTGCTCATTATTTTTAGCATTTCGATGAATTTTAATTGAATGCCAGCAAAACTGTGCCCGACGTCGGTCCACAAACCTTGGGCAAGGGCTGAAAGTAACAGAGTCGAAGCGCGAATTAATATAAATTCAAAGCACAAAAACAAATTAAGCTGATCATCATCAGAGTGCTTGGCATGTGCCATATTAAGCTCTGAATCCCCATTCACCTGACTGTGTGCACTTGAGCGGCATTGAAAATCAAATTAAGAATCCAGGAATGTAATCAAAAGACGAGAAATCAAGAAAATGTTTTCATTAAAGAATGTGTCCCTTTGGCAAGACAGCAAACAAATTCTATTCGGTCCTTATTCGAAAGACGACAAGTATGTTTAATTATGAACGGAAGTAGAACTCATATGCGCAACTTGCATATCCTTGTATATCCAATAAATCTGCGGACACAAAGTGTGCAAAGCGCAACATGATAACTTGTGCTCAGAATACAACTTCTGTGGAAAGTAACTTTACATAGATTTGTTTGTGTCCATTGGCAAAATTTTCTGGGTAGAGCACGTGAATTGATTGAGTGACTGACATTGTATACAGCTGATACAGCTTGGGACGATTCTTAGTCAAAATGAAGAAAATGAAAAAATTGGATATATATATTGATGTTAATATCGATAGTATCTAATAATAATTCTGTCACCGAAATATATAGAGACAATATGGTGGGCAGCCTGTGCAGCAATTACAGCGGGTTGCAGCACATTTAGTAAACTTCAAAAGATGGCTGAGTTCTTCTTCTCTATCTATCTATCGACTATATATGCGTCGATACATATATATATATAAAAGAGTTCATGTTTTCGTGACCATCAATTATTATTAATAATCTCCTAACACATCTGTAAATACATTTAAAATCTAACTAAATTATTATACAAAGCTGCTGAGCCAGTTTTAATGCCATTTACTTTATGTAATGGCCCTTCTTTCATGCTTACTCATTCCATATTTTATGGAGTACTTTTTTCTTTGTTCACATTGACTTGTCGCTTTTCTAAGTACAAGCTGGCAATAAAAAACTAAACTAAAAGCTATTGTAAGTAATTAAAATTTTAATAAGCTTAGCTGCGGAATGTCAATGCTGCGTATACGTAATATTAGTTTATTACGACTGCGAGTAGAGAAACAAGGAGTAGACCAAGAGGAGCGGCAATGGCCGTGGCCCCGAATGAGCTGCAACAAGTGGCTAATGCTAATTGCAGCCAGCGGGTGCTGTCCGAGCAGCGTGGGCGCGTCTGCTAGAAGTATTTTTATTCATTCATTTGTTTACTGCTCATTTGCCTTTTGGCCTTGACAGTGGCGATTAACACGCCATGACATGGTCATCAAGTCGACGCCAGACTCGAAATTATGCGGCGCTTATGTCCAGATACATTGCCAGGCTGTTCGGCAAGAGCTGTTCGGAGCTGCCAGCGAAATGCATTTGGCTCGAAGGCGCTTTGTCAGCCAAATTGGCATAAGCTGCTTTCACAGCCATATCGATGTGTCACAGCTTATTTAAGTGACTGGGTGTGTGCGCCCTGAATTTGTAAAATTGATGTAAACCAATTTATTGCTTTTACAAGCTCGAATCAATATGCATAAAATTGTTAAAGTATTTTTTTTTTATTTTACAGATTTTCGAAACACATTTCTAGGCGCACGAGCTCGAGGACTGCAAAGGGTCTGGGAATGTGGCATAAACTACAATGCCAGAGCATGGTCGCCTTGGCGAGTGGGTGTGGCTGTAGTCCTATTGTGCGGCGCGAAAAGTGCTGATAAATGCCAAATAAAGTGACAACGATGCGAAAATTGCTGCGCTGGAACAGAACTGAGAACAGAGCCCCCAAGCAATTGGCTCAAGCAGCTTCTCAAATCGTTGATATCAAGTCTCTCAGTGTGCGTTGCGGTTTGCGGGAGTCAGTTTATGTCTGTGTCGCATCTAGGCAGGCCCCAAAGGCGTTAACAACCAATTCTAAACGTACTCTATATTACATATATATACATATTTCCTCTGTTACCTCGCTCTGCACTCTCGCAGCAGTTGTGCCGCCTTGCAGGGAGTCAAGAGAATCCATTAAACTGTTGGCAGCCCTTATGGCTGGCCTCTATGCGTCACTTCCATTTCAATTTCAAATTTACGCATAACTGTCGCACGTTTTCCTTTTTTATTTTTTTGTTTTGGTTTTTTTGCATTCCGTTGTTGGCGGAATTAAATTTCGTTTGGCAATTTTTGGGCCAATTGCGCGTAAATCTGTCAACGCAGACATTTGGCTCTCTATGTAGAAACAAAAAACCACAACAAAAGGTAAATAGCTGAGAACCAAGGAAAATAATTTGGCTAACTTAAAATACGAAAAGAAGACAAACAATGGCTAGCCAAATAAAGTAAGCCTAAGCCTGACATTGATGGGATTTGTGAAGGCCACAGCAAGTGGAGGCAAATATTGTTCGAGCGAATGACAGGCTGATAGAAAATAAGCAAATTGGAACGAGACGACTTCTTTTCACCCTCCCCTTCCCTGCCAATTGATGGATGTTTCAAAGACATTTAATTGAAATTAAACTCAGTTCAATCAGAGCGATTAAACAGTCTCGACTTTTCTAAGCGAGATTGAGTCAGTATAGTTCCAATTCAAATATTTATATATATCTCTAGGAAGACAGTCACATTCACTAACAGTGGCCATGCAAGGCAAGTGAAAGGTCTTAGATATAATCAACAGTTAGACGTTATTTCGATGTGTATTTCAAGATTATATTGTAGTTATGTAAGCCCCTAACACTCGGAGAAACTAATTAACCTAGACGTCTAAGCTAACTAGTTGTAAGAGGAAACTGTTCGAGACGCTTGCAAAGTGTTTTCATGCAGTAAATAGTTTAGCATAAAAGTAAATTGAATCTTTCGAGTTGCACAACGCAAGTCTCAAATGCTGCAAATGACGTGCAAATAAAAAACGAGGCAAATAACCAAAAGTATGCAAAGTCCTGTTGACCATGAGCCCCAGTTTTTTTGAAAGTTTATGTCAGGCATGTTGCAAAGTATGACATACAATTATAGTCTCAAATTGTTTTCTGCAACTCAAGCATGTGCTGCATGTCCTGCAAATTAAGCTTTCAAAAAAATGTCAGCGATTTTCGTGTACTTTTGGTTTGCCATATGTGAAGAGTTACACGGCGTATACGTAATGCATGTTAGTTGTTAGAGAAAGTAAAAAGTAACAAAAACGAATTAAAGTTGACATATGAAATGTTTTTTGTGGTTTATCTGAATGTGAATATGACTACAAATATGACTATGACTACGACTATGAATGTGAATATGAATATATAATATATATATATGTATGAATACTCACAGCACAAATGCAATTTTTAATCTTATTTGTCACTTAAGCGAGGATTTCAACGGATATCTCAAAAGAATTTTTATTAAGAAAAAAAAAGAAGAAAATATTAAGCCAAATAAATAAATACTATGATTCTTATAGACTTAGGCTAAAGATTGAAATAGAAAATTATAAAATTGAGAACTTATTTCATAAGGTTTGTGTTAATCTTAAAACTCAGTTAAGGAGCATTTTAAAATAGTTGATACTAAACTAATTTAGAGGCGAACTAAGCTACAGAACTAACATATGTCTAGTGTATATGTATGTGTAGAAAACTCTATGTGAAAGACTCATAAGTAAAAAAGTCTCAGACAAAATAAAAAAAATATTCAAATATTCGAACATTTTATAATTTTATCGTAAGTTTAAGAAACATAAGCATGAAATCTATGAATGTTTGTTGTATGTTAAACATTGACAAGGTAATTAAAGTATACAAAACTTAAGCTAAATATTAAAAAATAAAGAAACAAATATATATGAAAATTTAAAATCAATTTCTATTGCCAATAGCAACTTGTATTAATTGATTGTGCATAACAATATGCAAATTAAAATGTTTTAAATTGAGCTAAGCCACAAACATAAAGTCGAGTAATGAATGAAATTAGATTTCAATTGGCAAATACAAAAATACAAAAATATAAATATATATATTTATAAATATGTGTGTTTACATTAATATACAAATTTAAATTGTTAAGTGAAGAGTAAAACAAAAAAGAAACAATGAGAAGCCGTCACAGAAGAGTATTACAATTGATTTAGCTATCAATAAAAACCAATTAAAATACATATTTTAATTTTAATTTCAATGGCAAATACAGAATGCGTTTTAAATTAAATGAAATATTTAATAAATAATGAATGTTGAATAAAAAATTAATAAATAAGTGGTTTTTTCCTATATTCGATTCACTGTTGACTTGGGCAAGCATTTCAAATGAGCAAAACTCATGCAAATTATTTATTTGCTAAGCTGCGCAAAATTTGAAATTAATGGCTCATAAATATTTGCAATAATTCAAATGAGCTAAGTGATGAACGTGGTCCTAGCTGAAAACGTAAGTAAATATTGCTCTTTAAATATTATTTTATTTCAAATTTTACACATTTTTCACAAAAAATCATAAATTAATCACCTTACCTTTATAAAAAAAAACTAACTGCCTATACGAGAAAGCCAAATTATTGTCGATTTAACCAGACTCACGAATAGTCGGCGAATGCATAACAGGATTTTGGCTGTTTGAGATACAACAGTTAATGCTGAGCTGTCTTTTCTTTAAAATTAATATATAATATGTCCATCCCCAAGGTGGCCTGAAGCCATCAGGAGATGGCCGTTAATTCCATGGCCAGTCATGCTTGAACCTGGCTAAAGCATCATTCGTAATGTCAATAATAAATATAGCTCAATATAATTCAACATATTTTGTAACATTATAAATTGATATATTTATGTAAGAAGCTGCTTTAACAAACTCGAACTTAGCAGGGGAATAGACTCCTTCACTACTAAACAGGAACTGAAGAAGGCAGTTAACAGATAAATCCAAATTAGATTTTCTATTTTTTTATTGCAACAGGAATAAATCTTAATTAAGTTAATTAAGTTTTTCACTTCTCACATACTTGATTCGCTTTAGTGCCAATCAAATGTCGCTTGCCGAACTGTGAAAGAAATGAGAGAAGAAATTCTTCTTTTTATGACGAATTGTGTACTCAAGGCAAGTATCTGTATAGTTGGTAAACGGCTAGTGAGCTGTGGCAATTAAGTAATTGTCTTTCAAATTTCGCACTCTGATGAACATATCCGCACTCGGTTCAAGTCATTTGTGGATGCCACATGTGTCAATTGTTGCGTGTTGATGTGCTCGTTGTAGTCATTGTCTACTGTGTATTTTTGTGTGTCAGAGCTGTTGTTGTTGTTGCTGCATGCCAACCTACTCGTGTTTGTGGGCTTCCAGAGCAAACAAACAAGTGGCAGAACACATAGGACAAATGTGCAGACAAGCGATTTGTCACTTGATAATTTACGGCCAAATAAACTGGCCTGACTGCATCTGCAGGGCAAATCGAGCAGTCCCAAGTGTACTCACAGGGAGCAACAAGTTGCTCGGCTTATGTTGAGGTGGGCCAGTTATTTTTTGTTTTACTTTCAATTAAAATGCTGGCATGCCAACAAGTTTTGACAACGCTCGACACGGGGCGTATACGTAATGCTCCAAATGGCCAAAGTTTGCGGGGCTGTGACAAAGTTTGGGAATTACATAAGAGACAAGGCAGTAGCAGAAAACTTTGTCAGCGCGTATTAAATAATTATGAAATTAATTCAACTCACATAACTCAGCAGCTTGGCTCTTTAAGGAAGTTCCACCCTAAGCTAACTTAAGAGCCCTTTGGCCCCTAAGAGATACATGAATTAATGTGCTGACATCTCAAAGGGTATTTATTTATGCTGTGTATACATCTAGCTGGTACAATATTTGTAAGCTCTTTCAAATCATTTGATTTATGTTTCGAGTCGACTCTCTCCGTAAATAAATATAAATTGTATCCGATCTGTGACAACTTCAACTCGAGCACAGTCTCTCTGAAGTTTGCCTGACAAATGTACTTATATTTTCTTCTTTTTTTGCTCTTTTGGACAACCAGAAGAGTGTCGCATGTGGCGTGCTCTGTACATTGCGGTCCCTTAGCTTTTTGGCTTCCGTTTTTTCGGTATTCATGGCATGCTAATGACAATTTTTTATGACCAACCACTCGAGGCAACCACATGCGCACCACTCACTCACATACACTTGAGATTTATGTGGTCGAAGGTGGTGTCCACTGAGCTTGCGTATTAAAATGAACGCAACTTTAATATGTGAGATGAATTTATAATGAGCGTAATAAACGGAATAAGCGCTTATCCACAGTCAAATTGTCAGACTGTGGTTAAAGGGTATATAGCAGTCGATAATACTTATCGTACTGCATTTTATAGCCATTTAAATGGAGATTTGAGCTTTTCACTGGCTAATCTCCAGGTCATTTGGTTAATGAGTGGAAGAGTGTATGTCTGTGTGTGTGTGTTGATGTCATTGAAAACGTTCGTGATTGCAGCAGATTCATTTCACAGTGCTTACATCAGCCCAGGTACATATATTTCTCAGAATTAATTAAAAAATCGTTTATTTTTTAGACATGGGAGTTTATGAATTTCAAATTCTGCACTTAAAGATGTGACTCAAACACGATTTAATCATATTTGTATGTACATTTGAGGAACATCTTAAATGATGATTAAAAGTTGCCTAAACTTAATATACTTAACTTTACTTCTTTAAGATATCTGAAGAGCACATAATAAATATATAAAAAGCCTGAAATTTGCTTGGAATAAGCAAGTGGCGTCTGGCGTCTCGGCTCCCAGTTGAAGGGCGAGTGGCCAACGACCGTTGTGGACTATTTGACTGAGTTGATTGCAGTGAAATGCCAGCCTTATTGTATTTGTTATTGGATATTGAATTGACGGACAAAGGCTTGACGAATTCGCAGCACTCACAGGGGAGGCTTGTCTGAGTTGTCAAACAGGGCTGCAGGTAGAGGTCAATCAATAATTGATGCAATTTGCCAAATTGACAATACAAAAAGAACAAACATTTTAAAAATTACAAATTGTGTGTGTGGACGCGACTACAGCTTGACTGAAGATATTTGATAATAGAAATTAAAAATAGTTTAAACTTTAATCAATACTATCAACTATCAGATATCAACCTCAACTGCACTTTGGCTGCAATGCTGAATTCTCTTTGTTCTGTTATTTAGGCAATTGATTTATTTGCCTTTATTATTTAGCTGCAATTGTCGCTGGTGTAATTTGTGATAATTTCGATTACCATGAGAGTTGAATATACATAACGCTGGCTTACCACAATGCTGCCGCTGCCGCAGTCTATAATTTGCAGAATTACGCAATCAAGCCTAAATGTGGCACCAGCCGCAGAGTGGTTGCTGTAGTATAAATTATAGAGATAAACTGCCTACGTTTTCGTTTAATTGTCCCTGTTAATTTGAGCTTCATCTCTCCCGAAACAATGAGTCCGCTTCCAAGAAGCCAAGCAAATCAAAACTGTGAATTTAAAGGTCATGAAATGCTAAGAATATATTGGTTACAGACCGCAAGGTTATGCCGCAAGCCTCGTACGATTTTGGCTGCAATCAGACGGCTGATTGTCTTCTGTGTAACATTCCCCATTGCACTCAGAGTATGAGTTTACCATGGCAACTGCGCTAACAGGAGAGCTGTGGAAATGTTAAGGCAAAATTAATAAACAGTTTTAGACCAGGTCGTGTCCATTGGGAGCGTCAACTTGGCTTTCTAATTGAAAGCCTGAAAAGAGAAAATGTGCGTTGGCTCACTCTCTATCCGTACATGTGTATGTGCGTGCGTGTATGAGTCCAGGTCTAGGCAGGCGACTAACTGTCTGCCAGCAGCTGCAACATAATCATTACGAATGTGCGACCGTAACTCATGTGGGGCCCGTGCCGAGGCGCAGCTGCGAGTCGTAGCACAGTTTGTCCAACTGAGTACATTACAATTTTTCTTTAGACCGGAAACCATAACAGCATCATTCGTTAGACAACCCAAATGCAGACGTCAGAGTCAGAGAGAGGTAGAGAGGGAGACAGTGGTCGGTTTATGGTTGGATACCTTAGTTCCGGCTGGTAGGTTTGGGGTTACGAAAAGGTTTGTTTGCCAGCTCCAAAAAATTGCTAACTCAGTAGTTGATTGTGCCAAAGCGTTCCGAGCCACAACCACATACGGCTACAAACAAATGGCCATTATGTGTGCGACTCTGTGGCAGGCTTCTCTGTTCGACTGAAGCTTTAAAATATGTGTCTCCATTTGCTTTTGAC